GGCAGCCATCCCAATAAAAGAATTAAAAACAGGCTAAGTTAGCCCAAGCAATACTGGACGAAAAATTGCAGGGTATTTGCTCAAACATCAAAAATTTGCCGATTCCCCTTGTCTGACAAAAATAAAACCGGTAACAATAAAAAATGTTTCTGGACTTGCCATTGTCACCCATTGCGCTCGACCCTAGAAAATACTTCTGATAACAAATTTGCCTGCAATTTTTTTAACTCTACCGACTGTTGGTTACTCAAAGCTGAATTCCAAATTTCACTTTGTAATGTTATTTCAACTGTCTTTATTTCACAATCGTTACCTACAAAATGAAGAAGAGAAAAAAAAATTATAAAAAAATGCTACTTTTTCTACTTTAGTTTTAAAATCAAATTAGTCCATTACTTTATCTTTCATTTTCCAAAAATTTTAGTCAGACCTTGAAATGCATGCAGGTTATTGATTAAAGGTACTTTTGTGAAGAAAATAATTAACTATAAAGTTGTCGCGATATCTGTAAGGCTTGAATGAAATAAAAAAAATTTGCAAGGCAGAAAGCATCGTGCAGGATAACCAATTTCATCTCAACTTTGCTTCCACTTGAGTTTGAAAGCAGTAGTTTTCGAAAATACAGTGTAGCAAAGTTCTTTTTATCATGAAACCAAGTCATAGTACATGTACATGCAATATTTTGAACTCATGAGAATAAAAAGACTAGCGTTCCTACTGCATGTTTTGGAAACAGGTGAAATTGCCGTTTTTCATAGAAATTCACGCTTTGACCTTAACGTTAATTATATTTGTTATAAAATTCGGATATAACGCGCAATGTAATTTTTTGAGAGAGCATGCTCTATATGAGTACAAAACACGGAGCTGAGCCAAAGCTTTCGCGCCATCTGTCAATTTGCACTATGTCCGCCAATTTACCGAATGTTTTTGCCTACACAAGCGCTCGTTTCCCCAAAGAGGTCAATACCTGGAAAACATGAAATAAAGGATCTTGTCAGCTATTTCGGCCGAAGATAAACGGCTCTCTGTGACTTGAAACGTGCCTCAAATGGACGATCGATCATCGTAGAAGACGTTCTGACGTGGGCAATTTGAAAACAAAACAAAGGCAGATTTAAAGCATCAGAGAGGCCATAAGAAGTAAAAAAAAATGACCGTCCAGGGCCGAACTTAGGTACATAGGGGGATCGTAGCAATTCTTGTGAGTGTTGCTTAAGTTGTTTTTTAATGATTTAGACGTGGGCACTTTGACTATCCACTTTATCTTCAAATATATAGCCGCATTTTAGTCATTTCTCACATAAAGCTTTGTACGGCAACCATATTTAAAGTCCGCAAATCTTTTACACTGCGCATGTTTCGCTGCCATTTCGTATACGATTTCTCGGCATAAGGTACAAGTGCTTTTTCTCTATATTTTGCCAATTCCACGCCATTGCGTTGTTTTGCAATTCAACCATAAATCACAATACCATTGTGCTTGTTTAAAATCAAAGCATGGACAATTCACAATTGCATTGTAATCAGACAAACAGCTTTGATAATACAGGACAAACTACTAACATCTTATGCCAACGATGCTGATAGTGGTGGCATCATCTCCATATCCGTTACTAGCCGTACATCTGTATGATCCTACATCCTCTAACTTCACATTGTTTAGATGAAAGTGGTAACCTGTCACATCAATCTTGTCCACAGGAACACCATCTTTTGTCCAAGTAATCTTCGGAAGAGGGTCACCAAATGCCTTACAAGTCAGAGTGTGGTTTTCTCCAATGGCAAGCAGAGACCTTGGCTCTGGTGGATTAGTAGTTTTTGGAGGCACTGTGAAATAATAGTTTAAGATAAATACATCGTACATTATGTCTAGTTTATATGTTAACACTACAGCTATTACATACTACAACATGCTGATTACATTTCCAAGAAATTTCTCCTCAAAGGAATTATAAATATTGAAAGAATAGGAGAGTTCATTGTTGCCAGCAAACTCTCTGGGGAAACCTGAAAGACTGGGCGTGATCCTAATATCGACTGCCACCCTCTACCTCCTATCCTTTATAGCTATCATTAACAACTATGATGACCTATTACTTTGTCTGCCATGATACATTCCTGGGCGGCAGGAGCTTATGCAGCTTGTGATTTGGTACAAGAACGTTAGAAAAGAGCTTGTTGGCAATATTCTCGCGCCGCTCATGCAGCGAGATAAGCCCAGTGCACGATAGCGCCTCGTCATATTATTTATAAGGGAAAATTATACGTAATGCGCGCTTCTGGCATCTTTCTAAATCAACTGATAAATATTGAGGTAGGCTGCTGTGAAAGAGCGCGCATGCGTATTCCATAACAGATCTAATACATGTAAGATAGAATAAAACGAGCTCCTTAGACTTAACCTGGGCGCGCTTTAATTGGCGTAAGAAGTAAAGCCGCTTGTTGACTTTCTTTACTATCTCATCTACAGGTGCGTTCCATTTGAGATCGACGGAGAAGGTGACACCTAACATCTTAGCTTTATGAACGTGCTCTAACTCCTTACTATTGACCACAATTGGGTCGAAGTCAGGTGAGGATCTTGAAAATGAGATGCGTAGCTCCTTACATTTGCCCTCGTTCAACTGGAAACCGTTTATAGCTACCTGTTTACTTTGATAATCAACAATCCGCTGAAGATTGCAATGGTATCATTCACGACACTTTCTTTTCATTCAGTTCTACAAATCCCATGAGATGTTTTTGTAAAAGGGCATCTTATTCAAATCAAATAATAAATTCCATAATGCTGACACATAAATAAGTAATTACACTTGTATCACCCAATCAAGTAACCTACTTTAAGTCATTCTTTACTTAATATACAGATGAAAGGTATGTGTAGGACTAGAAATGAGGTGAGTAACTATTGCACCACAGACAAAACAAAATCTAACAGGAATATGTACTTAAACTTTTTTTGTATCAGTTTCTTTGCAGACTTTAAAACCAAAATACAGGATGTTCCCTTCATGTAGATTCTTTCTTTGCTTGACATACTTAAACTTAAGATTGAGAATTGTAAATAATATTTTCCTTTCTTTACTTTTATGTGTTTATTATTCTTTTTTATCATTATCATCATTATTTTGCTTGTATATATTTATACATTACTTTCTTTTATGTAGTTTCGGCTCGAAGATATCAGCTCGTTAGCTATTCTAAAAAATTCGAGTATAAATTAAGTTTATGTATGTGTTCATGTGTGGACACAAGCGTCGCGTGCCGGTTGTTTCCGCCCTTGAATTGTGAAATTAAACTCACTAATATCTAATACGAAGTTTTATCTTAGAGTAAGTTATCATTCTCCAGTAATAGGTACGGTTGTTTCTTCCAATTTCTGAGACGTCTCATTTGCATTTCAGCATGCTTTTTTTCTTCAGAGATGATCCTTTGATTAGTGTAACTGCACTCTATTGTGAGGCTGGAAGGTAAATCAATCCAAAAGTAAATACAATTTTTTTATCAAGATTTCTGATTGAAAATATATTTTCCCTTTATATTCCACTGTGTGGGCCATCGGATCTAACCTACAATTGTAAAATGTGGCTCAAACGTATGCAACAACTCTAGAATTAATGAATTCTCTTGTCGAGAGCAGGAGATGATTAACGTGTGTCCTATGTTTGTCGCTGCGCTACAAACGTAGAGGAAACTAAGCCCCTTACGTTATCATCCCTTTCCGCGGGAGTAAGGGACGAAAATTCGCTGAATGAGCAATTTA